AAAAACAAAAAAAAACACACATCATTGTAAAATCAATACATTCATCACTTTGTTCAGAATCTAAAATGTGATTGCGTTGTAGTGTTAACCAAATGATTTTAATAAATATTTAAAAGGAGCATCATCTTAACATATAAATTAAATCAATATATAACTTGCATTGTATCGGTTTGAAAATAAAATGTTGGTACCAATGTCTAATATCAGTTATCTGTAACGACACTAGTCCAAGTTTATACTGGTATTTCAGATAATTCAAATATAAAGCCTTAAAATTAAGTGAAATATTTTGTTCAATATTGAAAAATAAACCCTAATTTTGATCTAAAAAATAAATTCTTAAATAAATTGCTGTTTTTGTTTTGGAAATATTGTTATATACCAAACTCTATAAATAATTAAGAATTACAATTATAGGTGCTACAGCATCAATCTTATACCTTTATGAAAATTAGTTGATATCCTCAATTTACTTACCTATGAGTAGGTATTGTAACAAAATTCATTCAATGTTGATAATAGGGCAGTGAATTTAAAGAGCTAATAAAACATGAAATATGTAATTACTTTTGTAAAAAAAATACCAAAATATGGGAAACTAAGCAAAATTTCAAAAAATAGGAAACTTGATAAAATATGTGTCTCGGAAAATTATGCTTAAAGGTTACCTAATAAATAGAATGTGTAAAATCTTAAAATGTAATATAAACAAAGGTAAGCTATGATAAAAATATATAAATTAATAAATATACATAAGTTTTATGTACAAAAACCAATAGTTTTTCAGAAGAATTTTAATCCAAATACAATTTATTGAAATTGGTGTATCTGAGGGTATCAATGTTAGGCTGTCATTTCCCAAAAATATGCTATACAAATAAAAACAAATTCAGAATTTGGAATGGTTATATCAGTGATAATGTGTTGAATAAAATGTATATTATTCTCATTATTTATTCAAAATGAAATGCATTGATATACAAAATTTTTAAAACTATAGCTTAACAAGCTTAAGCTGATATAAAAAAAACTGTCACTTACACAATGTATAAATTTAAAATAAATATATTTACACAAGTATTTGTACAAGATTATTAAATACTTTAGCAACATTTCGACACCACAACGAATTAATAAATCATTAGGTTCTAATAATGTGCATTTCAATTATTACTTATATTATAAGCTGAAATATTTTATATTTACCTGTAAGAAGTGTTTGTGGCAGTAGAAACAGTCAGTGGTTCGGAGGGACTATAATGTGTCCCAATTGAAATTTTTCCTACGTCCCCATTCATGTACATATATCCTGAAAAAATGGTTTATTAACTAAATATCAAAATGTATAACATATAAAACAAATAAAAGTATATTTTTTACTTAAATTAAAATTTATTGATGTAAATAATAGTCCAATGGCCTATGTCATCGAGGGTTAGTTTTTGTTAAAAGAAAAAAAATTTAAATTAAGTAGTTCCGTGTAAAATTAAAAACAAAATTAATAAGCCAATACTTAAATTTCATACTTTGGCCACATAAAAAGCTAATTGAATACATCAACAAAATTAATATTTACAATAAATTTTATAATTATATTATTAATTTATGTACTTTTAACTCTAAAAATACCTAAATGATTTGAAACCAAAACTATTCTATTGAATTCTTCAATATCAAAATCACAAAAATACTTGTGCATCTATTCTAAAAAATAGTCATTGCTACCTACATCTAAGTTTGAACCTTAAATTAAGAAACAGAATTGTATTTCAAATTGTGGTATCATTAAAATTATATTTAGACTACACAGGAATATCCGAGGGAATATCAGATCATAAAAAAGCATCCTACAATGTCTGAGCTCTGGTTATCAACTAATAACGAAATAGGTATAATACTATATTTGGTATGTATCTTAATTTTGAATCATGTAAGTAATCCCTTGTTAGGTATTTATAACCGAATTTAAAAATCATATTGTTGCATAAAAGGGTACACAAAGGTAACATTAAATAGGTTTATTATATCAGAGGAGTTTGTGTATGTGAGGAAAATATGTTTGATGAATATACGTTTTTTCTAAATTAAACTTTTTACTTAAACACTTTATAGAAATAAAAAAAGTTTAAGAGGATGACACACCCACGTGTGTTGTCTCTGTCTTATACATGTACGATATACCAATTTTCTGTTCGTTAATTTCAATAAATTGCTGTTAGTATTTAATATTGGAGTGAATTGACCTATTATGAAATTTATAGGTAGTAACATTATCAATTCTATGTTCTCTYAATCTGTTTTTTACGATATTTTAATTATTAATTAACTTATGAGTAGATAAAGTATTACAGAAATTTGATATGTCGTACTTGTGTAAGACGGAGAAAAGGGTGCGACGTCCTCTTAATGATTCATGAAGGTGTAAATTTAATAAAAGTTAACAATAGTATTCTAATATTACTACAAATTATGTCATAAACTTTCAATTTAGTTGTAAATAATGCATTCTACCAATATATTTATAAACTGCAATCAAGTACTGATGTTAGAGCGATGATTACACCATTTTAAATTTTAATAATTAATAATAGATTTTCAAGTATACCTATATTTAAGTTAAAATTATAGGGTAAAATGTGCAACATCAGCATTTTCAAATAAGGCCATTTGGAACCGTGTTTAAAATATAATATTTTGATAAGTTGTCTTACAGTATAACTATTGGTGTTACGCATATTTTTATAACAGATTGGAGCCTTTTTATCACAACTCATTTACAATAGATTGTACAAATGTATACTAAAATTAATTTAATTTTATATATTTAAATAATCGATTACCTACTTAATATAGTATTGTCACAGTCGAGACATCTGATATAACAAGGAATAAAATTTAAATCCTTCCCCCCCCCCAAAAAAAAAAATTAACAACTATAGTTAGCAGACAGTTTCAGGCACAATATCAATATCTCAAATAACCCATTACTTCAGGAGTTTCACAACTTCTTGTCTAAACAAATTGTAAGACAAGAAACTTTTAAAAGTCAGTCATTGAAAAGTGTAACGAAACAAAAATACCCAAGACTTTGTAGGGCGTGGGCCAAGTGAAAAACAAAATAATTTGAATGATAACTAGGACAGTCAGAGATTTCATGAGGATAACTATAGTTGGTTTGTTGGTCGAACACCAAGAGAAAGAGAACAATTTACCAACTGATCTTGAAAATATAATCTTTTAGCAGACACAGAACAGACGAACTTACAAGAAATTAAAATAATAATTACTTAATAACATCAGATTGTCTACAATATATAAAAACGTCAGCAGTATGCAAGTATGGTGACAACAACAATAATAATAATTATGGTACTTCTACTACTACTAATAATAATAATAGTATGTACAATCTACCTACATGAAAATGGTAGACTACTTACACGATATTACACACTATTTAGTATGGAGGTAGCACAGTAAAGTTGTATAATTATATCATAATGATATTTATAAGCAAAGGTTTGTAATAATATTTGAGTGTAAAATACAGAAACCCGTGTGGTGTAAAGGGCGACCGACTGGAACCGACGGACGAGAGCAAAAATCGCAATCGAAAAAAAAAAACCTTCGGTGTGGTGCACACACACATATATATTTGTAGGTTATCACAGCCAGCCGAGTACGACTTCTCGACGGGTTAACCTATACACACGCCAGCAGTTACGCAGAGTACGCCTATCACACCGAACCTATCGAATGCCAATGGCGACCGATTTGATTATAAATACACATTACACACACTCACACTCATGACGATGGTGATATCGTACCGCGATTGTTGAGAAATTTAGAAAAATTACCGTTTGGACTCCCGTACGACGGTTCTCCCTTCTCCACCCCCCAACGACGAGAAGTGTCGCGCCACGAGAACGTACCTAAGCGCGCGCGACCGGGCACGACGCACGAGACGGACACGACCCCGAGAATACGATATTTAACCCCTTGAGGGGCTATGGTATTATTGTTGTTATTATTTTTACGGGTGCCATTACGACTACGGTATAGGACACTGCGGTCGCGGTCACCGGGCGCTTACCTGCTGTTTCGGCCGCTTCCTTGCGCAGGAACATTTAGAGCAGCAGAAGAAGAAAATAACAAACCGAAACTGTCGACGGACAGATGTTGACGAGACGATCGACAGAAACTCCCGAACACGAGAATTTTAACGCGAGATCGGCGCGCGCGTAGCGTTTGCGTGTCGGCCACGACAGCGAGGTGTATTATTTCTCAGCTGCGGATCGCGGTGCACACCATGTCTTTCAACCTTAGAGTGCAACTTTACTGCTGTGCGGTTCGGCGAAAATTTTGATTTTCAACTTGTCTTCCACACCGCCGTAGAAGCTTTACCATGTGCACGCACGCCAAATTCCACCGAGTAGCCTTATATGACTAGACAGTAGACGACGGCGGCGGTGGCACGAACGTACGTACACACACACACGCACACGCACTCACTTACGCGCGCGCGCTCACTCTCACACACGCACACGACCACTATCACGGGAGTCCAAACGTCCAAAAGTAGCTTTATATAATATATGTGTGTGTCGCTTGTTAAACCGCGCCGGACGGGAGGCGGATTCGATCGGTTCTCTCTCTCCGCCGTTTGCAAGTCGGCGATCCGAAAGACCGCTCGTGATGGGTACTAGTACTTACAGATCACCGTACGCCCGTGAAATGTGTGGCGTCCGTCGTCGTGGTCCGGTTAGATGTCCCGTTCACGACTCAGCTGCCGCCGGGAGTTGACGGTCGAAAATTCGCGTGCGGGGGGGAAAACGGGCGAACGAAGGACGCACACCGCCGCCGAACGGTGAAAAACCAGGACGGGACCGCGACGAGTTAAACAACAACAACAACAATCGGACGGCGAGTGTGGCAACGCAACGTATTTTAGTGGGATATCATTCGTGCGCGTTTGCGATAGAAAATTTATAGCCTTGCAAAATGGACGACAACACGAACACATGCCACAGAGTTCACGGCAGCCATGGAAGACAAAAATTGCGACGGTGGCGACATCTGTACGTCGCCCGTACTGTTCGGCGACGAGCCGTACGAGTAGACAAGTTGTGTAGTAGTAGTAGTAGTTGTATACGCGGCGGTGGCTGCTATCACCTATCGGCTATCACGACTCGGTATCAGACAATAATGATAGTATCCCTAAAGAAAAAAAAAATTATCACCATCCACTCTAGTACTCTACCGCAGTACCGCCGGAACGCAGTCGCAGCGAACGACGGAATGACGGAGCCGGAAGTGTCGGCATTGGAATGCAATATTTCACTGCAACTACAGTCAAGTCTGTAGCTAGGCCACGAGCAAGTCATGCGTTTTCTGAGGGCATAGGGCGGCATACAATTTTAAAGAAATCAAAGATGGAAAAACTAAAAAAATATCGGTGATAGAGAGTAGCATCAAAATGTTTGCTATTGGGCGAAAAACATCAAACGACGAGCCTGACTGCAGTAGATTACAGCAGTAGTCAATGGCATATTGGCATGAGAAAAAACATCACGGTGCGATAGCAAAGGTCCAGATTTAGTGGATTCTGCGCACACTGCACACATAATTTTCTTACCGGTATAATGTATTATCATACCGTCGCTTCTACATTATTATGTTAGATACGCTACGTCACGTGCCTACCCGAAATATCTGACCGTCAATAATTCCCGATCAGACCTTGGTGTGTCTGTATGATGCCATAGTGCAGAAGATGTGTGTGTGCCGCACGCGGAAAGGCGTTATTACTAGGGCTGAGGACTTGACACTTGTAGCTCTATAAAAACTCTAAATATACAAGCACTTATGTGTTATGTGCACTTTTATACGACGTTAGATCGTTATCGCTTCTACGAAAAATGTGTGGCCGTGGACAATCAAAAACCATATTATACGACAAAAATTAAAAATAAATACATTTTTATCCAAACATTTTGACTGTATTGTTTGAAATGAAAATGTTACAGTGGAAAAATCGATCTAAATTAAATATGTCCAAGACCGTCATTATGGGGGGGCGACCCCCCCCCCACTCACGAAATATTTCAAATTGGAAAAATGTTCGCATTGAGTAATTTTTATTACTCTATGCATTTTAGCAGCGAATATAATTAATTAACTATAAATTGCATTAAAGAATAATTATATATTTTCGATAAAGCAGTAATTTAAAATAAGAATTTATCATTTCATTTTATTTCAACGTCGTAATAAAGATAAGGTTAGCCGGTTAGGTACTAGATACAATAGAAAGTGATTGTCATAGATAATATTAACTTATATATGAAAGTCGGTCGCAGAAAACCCAAATTATTTAAGATTAAGAAATAAAAATTTAACAATATTGTGTATATTGTAGAACATTCATTTTACTGTTGTAGTGCTGTTCGTGCCCACGTAAACTTAATAAAATAAGTAAAAGAAGCCAAATTCAAAATTATTTTACAAAGCGTCAAAAGGTATGTTAAAAATTTACTATTTTGTTTGATTATTGTTATATAAAATGGTTATAATAGTATAATACAAATATATTATGTTTATTATGTGTATTAATAATTATTAATTACCATACTATAGACCAATTAAAAAGTACTACTTTATTTATTTTAGACTGATGATGTCCCCTCTGTCTAAACACAAGAAGATATTAAAAATAGAAATAACGTTAGTGTTAACTCTCCAGAAGAATATTTCCGTATAGCTATTGCTATTCCTTTTTATTCAACAACTAAAAGATAGATTTTCAAAACACAAAACAGTTTTGTCTTCTTTATATTTATTAATACCGAAAATGTGTCATAAAGCTGCATTATCAACTACAGATTTTAATTTATATTCTGACTATATAAATATTGATTTATTACCCACATAAATTCAACTATGGAATTGGAAATGAATCTCATATTCTCAAAACGATCGTCCTAGTACAGCCATTGAAACATTATACAATTGTAATTCTGATTTATTTCCGTGTACCCATATACTTTTTATTAAAAGTTTTAGCTACATTACCAGTTTCAACTGCAACACCCGAGAGAACGTTCTCAACGCTGAAACGGATGAAAATATTTTTGCGAAACGCTATTGGATAAAACCGTTTGAATGGCCTAGCATTATTAAGTGTTCATAAAAACATTAAAGTGGATTCCGAAGGCGTCCTAAAAAATTTGCAATTCAAAAAGATATAGAGCTGTTTTACTGATATAAAATAGTCAACATATTGCATGCTTATAGACTATAAATTAATCATTATTATATATATTTAATATTGAAAAAAATATCTTATGTTTTATATTTTTTTATTTGTACTTTTAAATAATGTAAATAATTCTATATGTATATAAATAATTAACTACATTATGTAAATTGAATATTATAATGACGACTTATGTTTTTAATAATGATAATAATCTTCTTTTTAATATTTTTAACGTAAAAATTAAGTGTTTAGTATCTACAATCTACATATTTAAAAAAAAATTGGATCCCCCTGGAATTTTTTTCCAGTTACGGCCTTGAATATATCGCAAAAGTATAAAAGTGTGAAACATGCCTTAAAAACCAAAAACACGCAAAATATGCATTTATATGCATAATAACATTTCAAAACTAGCTTTGTGAAAGTATGAAATGTATTTGTATCGTACTCTGCTATTTTTGTGAATGTAAAACAAATATGCAAATGTTTAAAGTCCTCTGCCATAGTTATTACTTATAATAAATTAGACACAGTGGTCACCGTATTGATTTCATATTTTCGTTTCGATCTATATCACGACCCAAAAGCAAACACCCGCGTAACGCGTAGTAGGACATGGTCGTCGATTCAAAAGTCCGGATTTGTGTGTAAAAGAATTAGATTTAAAGTACATTTTCATTTATGCGTCGAATAAACATATACCTACCTTGGATGATATAGGTATGCTTTTACGTTTTGTAAGAATTTATGTTCAAATATAATATGTCCCTATCCAAAATACAATGTTTTTTTGACAAACTTTAGATAAATTGAACGAAGATTTTTTTTTAATTTGCTTTTTATTAAAAAAATATAGCAAATACGAAGATTTAAAGAGATGAATATAATAAAAAAATACATTTATGTTCGTTTAGGCGCTCTTTTTTTATTCAAAACATTATTCAGTTAAAGTGTTGAATATTGATATTTTTCTATTCTAAATATACATGTAAAAAATCATAGGTGTGCACTTTGCACAGACTTATCGTTGGAAGGGTGTGCAAAATACAAAAATATTAGGGCCTTCCCTCAATAAAAAAAAGAAAGTAGTTAATACTACTGTAATATTTATATTACCTACCATTCAAATTTAAAATTTATTACCTACGTATAGTAACGTTTTATAAAAATATTTATTTAACAATCTCCTTTTCAATAGGACAAAGGTTGAGAGGTTGTGACTTGTCGATAGTATTACTTCTATAATTTCTACTATTTTTTTGAAAATAAAAATAAATATTTAATTGTACTGAGTTCTGAAAAAGCCCCTTCAAGGTCTCAAAGGGATATAACAAAAATGGGCTCATTCTCGAAGTAGCAGAGTATGCAAATGTATACCGAATGCTCTTGCTCATAAATCATGATTTACAATTTATTGTAAACCCCGTTTTGTTTAAAAAGGAGACGGGTTAGGTTGGTTAGATATATAAATCCTAGGGAGATAATATTATTATTACTAATGCTTTCTGCAAGTCTTTACTCCCTCTAATCTCTGTGATCGAGTTTTGGGTCCTCCTTTGCGCTCTGACGAAATATAAATTACGATAATAATGTTAGGTATTACTTTGGTTAATACTAAAATACATATAGTACCTATACACAGATATATATATAGTTTATGAAACGAGTAATATTATGTCATCGAATTTTTCTTCGATCGATATCGCTGTCAAGTCACCACTCACTACCTAATTTTCACTAACGTATGTGTACATTACTTGTTTTTTCAACATTAATAAAAGTATCTCATGAACTTGGTAACTTTGAACTTAGCCCTATATTCCTACCTATATAAAAATATAATAATATATTATGATCCTTTAGTTCTAATGTACACCTTATGTTGTATTGTTATTTGTTATGCACCCGAATAAAAAACAACCAATTGTAACCAATTTCCATATTATAATGTGTGTAAATGAGTTCACTTTATTAACATTTAGCCAGCGTTACTTTTTATAAGATTTCTTTATAGTATAAAACAATTAAACTGCTGTAATATTACTCGAATAACCATTTAGGTTCGTAATCGTGTACTAACCAATTACTATTTTTTTTTATATATCAAAAAACACTGCAGTTATAGTCACTGCTTATCGTATCATAGTTTTTGTTTCCTACCAGAACGTGGCGTCGCAATACATAGTCTCCCACGCATACGTAATTTGCTATATCACATATTTTAGGGTGAAAGTTTTCATCGAGATTATTTTTTCTAAAACATTGTGTTTGACCGGAATTTTTTGAATCAAATAATTTACGCGTTCGATAATGTCGATACTATTTTTCAGCTCGATATTACGTTCACTTCGAAAGTATATTATAGCGGCGGTGTGCAGMAATGAATCATTGTCAAACTTTTACATTTTCACAAACCACAAATGAAATATTTAAAATGTTAAATGCCACAAGAATCAAATATATTTTTATTTTTTTATACGGTTAGGTTAAATAATATAATTAATTATTATTCCCAAACAAAAGTACAATATTCAATATTATTATATTAACATAATACACATATAATATAGGTACATATTATAATTATAACACATAAATCCGGGAACAATACAGGATACGTGTAAGGATAAAATAATTATCGTTGTTTTTTAAAAGTTATATTTACCTTTATTCTTATTTCCGTTTTCCACATTTTTTTTATTTGGTTCGTCATCAGACTTTGATAGGTTTGCAGTCAATGACTTATACTTGAATTCGTGTGCTTCAGGATTTAATGTTCCGCTAGAATTACTAGGAGTAGATAACACCTAAAATAGTAACATTTTATTTTATTGAATTCTGTATTCTATATTTTAATATTATGTATTCAAGAGTTTAATTACTAATTAGTAATAACAGTGTAATATGTATTAGAATTTAGAAGTTTTTCGTAATTACTATATATACGAATGCAGAGTGTGTATACCTCTAATCTCGAGCATATTCATATACATCGAATATATATAATAATATATATTAGTATATTACACATTTATATTTCATACAGTTGATGATGAATACTAATCAATAATCATGTAAGCAAATATCAATATTCAATGGTTAGACATTATATAACATATATATTATAATTATTTAATTTGAATACGTAGCTATAATATGAATGTATAATAATATACCTACTATCCCTAGGTTAAAGCCTGTGTAAGTATATCGTGTATTCGTATTAAAAATAAAAATAACAAAAAGCTGGTAAGTCGTGGATGTCGCTCTGCTGTACAGTAGGTTACAAAAGTGGGTTACTGTAGTAATGGATGGAATTAAATTTGAATCCAATGATATTATATCATTGTATTATACAAAAAACGATTCTCAGCGCAGACTGTTCATATTTCTAGGATATATTAAAGATTATTAAAAATTTTCAAATCTTAGATTTAAAAATAAAATTTTTTATGAATTTTTGTCTAAGATAATTTGAACATTGCTGTAGTTTTTGCGTATTTAGTCAACATTTGAACTTTGAATGCTTATAAAAAAAAATCGTGCCTATGCGTTTTTATATTTTTCAACTCCTATTGTAACAATATGTTAGGTGTCTTCATAAATAAATTTTCAAGCTTTTCTACCCAACAAATACATTTTTATCGATATTTATAGAAAAAATAACTAAAAAAGTTGAAAAATTAAAATGTTAGTAAACAGCTCAAAACAAATCAAAATATTTTGAAAATTTTATCAAAATATAGAAAATGCCTATATAAACATTCAGCGAAAATTTCAAGTATTTGTGGTCATTTTTTTCAGAGYACACTAAAATAAGAAAATC